GAAAAGGGGGGAACAGTTTGAGGCTTGATAGAAAGCCCACCCAATTAATTCTGAGCTCCTAAAAACTATATCCAACAGGGAAGCTGAAAAGTGTCTCACAAGTCCATGCACACCCGTGGCAATATAGGTGATGCATATAAAGCTCCTGGATGAGGAACTAACACAATTATTGCTATGGGATGGTAATAGGTAGTGTCAAGCACACACAGTTTTGCTGGAGGCTTATGCTTTGTCGGGAATGATCAAGAATCAGTGGTATGTGGCGGAGGAAAACCCCATGGACAATGTTCTAAAATCATGCTTAATTTTTCAGTACACCACTTTCTATTTTTTTTTAAAAAATGTATGAAATTCATTATTAGCAATGAATGGATACCAATACAATAGCAGGCAAGCAATTTTACCCAGTGGTAATAAAACTGGAGGTGTCCCAATGACCTCAGTAAAAGGAGTTAAACTCTGTTGGAAGTAAATGAATCAACAAAAGCATCATACCATGTGCAGGTCACTGGATGTGCTAAAATTAGTGTGTTAATAGTTTTCATGGCCATTCCTCCTTAGTTTTAAATAACAGATGTAAGGGTAGTATGCATTGTTGTAAAATTCAAAGACAAGTATTCTAATAAAACATCAACGTGGATGTCGGGATGCTTTGATTTTGAGTTCCTGCATGGCAGGGGGTTGGACTGGATGGCCCTTGTGGTCTCTTCCAACTCTATGAGTCTGTGATTTTTATTAGAATACCTCTCTTTGAATTTTCTTTGAATTTCAAACATTTCTTTAAATTCAATATTTAAAACACAAGAAGCATGCTTCATTTTCTTAATAATCAAATAGTTCAGCTCAAATACTTATGAGCTGTTGAGACGTAAAAGATTTTAGCCAGTGTCAGCTGGGAAAACCTTCCTATGTTTTTCCATAGTTGCCTTAAGAATACAGTTTAGTAGCATATTAATTCTTGGCAATTGTATGATTACAAAGGGAGAAACTGTACTTGCTAAAATATTCCCTCCTTTGTTGTACTGATTGAAGCCTCATCCAGCAAGTAGATGTTAGTCCGTTTCTGGTGGCTAGAGTCATTAGGCTAGAGTCATTAGCTTTACAAAAGGTCTGTTCCTGGTGGAGATGAAAACTGCCAAAATGCTTATACAGGGCGATTTAAAAAGAATGGTGCAAAGGTAAAAGTGTTCATATTGAATTTTGTACCATTCTTTTTTTAATCATCCTGTATATACATAGTTCAATGATGGGGGCCTACATTTCAAAATCACTACACAACTGATCTCTTCCATCAGAATATATTACGTCCTGCAAACCTCCATCAGTGATGTAGTAATTCTCTGCAAATCAGTTTCATTTTGGTGATTTAATAGATATTATTATGTCGTGTTATGGAATTGCCTGTGCATTGCTTTGCAAGGGAGACGTGAATTAAAAGGCAGTTACAAATAGAGTTACAGATGGAGGAAGAAAATTCTGAATACAGATATTTTAAAATTCTGAATACAGATATTTAATATTTTAACTACAATACCACACTCACATCATCATACTGAGCACTTCATATCTGAGGTGAAAAGGATCTAGGAGCCTTAGTAGATCACAAGATAAACATAAGTCAACAGTGTGAAACAGTAACCAGAAAAGTCAATGCAAATCTTGTTGCTGTTGTGTGCCTTCAAGTCATTTCTGATTTATGACAACAAGGGAAACATATCATGGTTTTTTTCTGGCAAGATTTGTTCAGAAATTGCCTTCTTATCCAGCTAAGAGAGACTGACGTTCCCAAGGTCATCCAACGGGTTTTCCTGACCAAGCAGTGATTCAAAGCCTGTTCTCCAGACGCCTAGCCCAACATTCAAACTACTATACCATGCTGGCTGTGTTAATGTAATTCTAAGCTGCATCAATAGGAGTATAGTCTCCAGATCAGGGGTCTTCAACCCACGGCCCGTGGGTCGATTTCTGGCCCGTGGACAGCCGCTAATCGGCCCCCGCCCCCGCCGCGCGTTTTGGCCGCCACCGCGTCCGTCACGACTGCCATTTTGGCAAACAAAATGGTGGCCCCCACTCACAGCTACCATTTAGTTTTCCAAAATGGCGGCCACGACTCGTTTGCTCATGTGCAGAAGTACTGCGCATGTGCAAATGAGTTGCAGCCGCCATTTTCTTTTCCAAAATGGCGGCCAAGACATGCATGGAGGCAGCGGCGGCATGCGCAGCGCGCAGCGTGGTGGTGGGACACGCGCGCATGCGCGGCGCCATTCCCCCCCCGGCCCGCCGGAAGGGCCCGCCAGAAGGGACCGGCCCCAGGTAAAAAAAGGTTGCTGACCCCTGCTCCAGATGAACAACAAAGTAGTGCCACTCAGAATACTGTGTCTAGTTCTAAGCATCACAATTCAAGGATGACCAAGATGATCAAAGGACAGGAAACCAAGTATTACAAACAACAACTTACGGAGCTAGGTGTGCTTAGCTTAGACATGGGAAGAATGAGAGATGACAGGATAGCCATCTTTAAATATCTGAAAGGATATCATGTAAATAGAAGATGGAGTGAGCTTGTTTTCTGCTGCTCTATAGATTAGAACATGAGCCAATAAATTCAAATAAGAGGATAAGACGTCCTGCTGGAATATGCTTGCATTCTCATGTCCCTTCTTAGGGCCTTTGCAGACTGCCAGAAATAGTGCACATTAAATTGAGGCACTGTCCTGGCTCAGTGCTAGGGAATCATGGGAACTGTAATTTATTGTGGCACCAGAGCTCTCTGACAGAGAAGGCTCAATGTCTCAGAAAAAAATACAATTTTCATGACTCCCTAGTACTGAGCCGGGGCAGTGCCTCAATTTAATGTGCACTATTTCTGGCAGTCTGCAAAGGCTGTTAGTTAGATAGGGACTTCCTCCCTCCCTCCTCTCTTTCTTTCTCATTTTAATCATGTGACTTTGGTCAGTGACTCTTGGAGACTGTTTACCAGCTCTCTCCCAAGATTCTAAACTGCTAGGAAGAGCAGTCAGTTGTTGTAGTTTCTTTCTGCTATCTAAACGATGGTGAGAGTTACTTCTCTTTATCCAAGCCACCACCAGTTAGATTAGGTTTTAGTTATTTTATGCATATATTTATTAAAGCCATTATTGTTTGTTTTGTCATTTTTTTGGAGCAAGTCTTTAGGAAGGCAGATTTAGAATAAATAGTCTGACCCACACTTTTGCTGCTCTACTGATGAAGCTGAACTCTAACAAGTTTAACTTTCATACTTGTATAATTTTGTTTCCCTTTGCAAGGGTTAACACCCTGGGAAACTCAAATTGCACCCCAGAGGTCCTAACCATAAGACCTGTTAGATTAGACAGTGGAAGAGTCTTCCTGAAGGTTTGTTGAACTCTTCTTTGGGGATCTTTAAACAGAGGTTGGATGGGAATTTTTCAGGAGTGCTGTAATTCTGCATTCCTTAGTGGGATTCTTTGATTGTGTATTTCTCATCACCACAGAGACAGAAAGGACTATAGAAAACAACAATGCATATGGCATGTTGTGCTTAAAGACCAAAGGTAGCTTATGGAATACCTTGTACAAGAAAAGGAATAGAATATTTCTTCAGCTAGTTGCAGAGCTGAAATATATATGGTTGGCCCTCCGTACCCACAGATTTTTTTATCCATGGATTCAAGCATCCACGTCTTGAAAATATTCTCCAAAATATAAAAATTCCAATACGCAAACCTGGATTTTGCTATTTTATATAAAAATGCACCATTTTACTGTGCCATTGTATATAATGGGACTTGAGCATCCACGGATCTTGTTAACCACGGGGGATCCTGGAACCAAACTCCAGAGGACACCAAGGGCCCACTGTAATATCAAATGTCATCTTTGTTAGCAAACTCCAATCGCTGCCTGTGACATTGAAATCTGTATCTGAAACATATCTCTGGATGCCTTGCCTGAGCACAGTTCAACACAGCTATGATTTCAACATCTGTGTGCTTTTGAAAACAA